CCCCACTTCTAAACTGAGACTAGGGAAGAGAAATGGCCTCTGTAAGGCCATAGATCAGTCAAGAATAGAGGGGATCAAGCCTCCTCAGGAATGGGTTTTCCCAGAACTGGTACCTGCCCAGGGCACTTACCCAAATACCCAAAGTCACCGTCCGGTCTCCGACAGACATCACCTTGGCCACGAAGGCGGCCCCGATGGTCTGCAACCAGGGGAAAGCGATCAGAACGGCGGACGAGTGCTGGCCTCCCACCCGCGCCGGCCCCGCGAGGCACACTCACGTTCTGGTAGGGCCCCACCAAGAAGCGGTCGTGCACGTAGCGCTCCACCAGGCTCGTCTTGCCCACGTATTCCTTGCCAAGCATCACCACCTTGACGTCCACCCGCTGCCCGCTCATGCTCTCGCGGCTGCCTTATCCGCGTCAGGGCCCTGCGCCCCCGCGCCGGGTTAACGCGGATCTCCAGTCGGGCAGGGAGCGCCCAGGCCTCTGTCCCTACGACTCGAGACACCACGGTGGGCTCCAGCTACAGCAGCGCCCCGCTGCCCCCACTTCTTGGCCCCGGGCGCTGATCCTCCTCCCGAGAGCCCAGGGCCTGGGGCAGCCCGGGAGCGCGCGGGGCAGCGCCCTCAACGGCGCCGCACGCCGCCGCCCAGCTCGCTCGCCGCGGGGCTCAGGCGCCGCCACAGCTCGGGCTCCCCACGGAGCTTAGGGTCCCAGCTAACCCGGCTCAGGCCACCAGCTCCGCGACTCCCGCAGCGGGAGGGGGTGGAGGGCGAGGGGGCGGGACCAGGAGTCACGTGCACAGGCGCCGGAAGTGTTCGGTACTGTGCTTCTGCGCCGGAAGTGGCGGGCGGCTGGGCAACTCCTCATGGCGGTGGCTGCTGGTGGAGCGCAGGGCGGTGGCGACTGAGCTACGTGCCTGGCGGGCGTGCGCCGAGGCTCGGCCTGGTCTGCACGTGCCCCGCGGGCTCTGCACCCCTGATGCTGCGCGGGTGTTGATCCCGCTCCGGCCGGGACGATGGTGAAGTATTTCCTGGGCCAGAGCGTGCTCCGGAGTTCCTGGGACCAAGTGTTTGCTGCCTTCTGGCAGCGGTACCCGAATCCCTATAGGTACGTAACCCGGGATATAGCAGCCTTTCCCCTCGCTGTTTGGAATCGAAGTATGGGGCCGGGAAGGACTCCACATCGAGTCCGAGGTAGGGGATCGCCGGAGCCGTGGCCGTCTTTAGGGTTAGAGGACCCTATTGGGGAAGTGGCCAGGCCTGCAGAGTGCTGGAAGGAGGCCGGGCCTGGGCAGTGGTTTACTTGAGGCCGTATTCTAAGGCTCTGTCAACTCCAGGTGGCTGGCGAGACAGGAAGAGACGGCGGCATAGGAATTGGGAGGGTTCCTGGGGTTGGAATTCCCAGATGTTCTCTGAGCTTGTTCTCTGAGCTACTCCTCTGCCTGTGGTGCTCTCCAGTGGTGCAGTAAACCAACAAGGCCTGCCATGCTGGAAGGCCCAGGAATCCAGGTCAGCGAGGGGGCAGGAGTTGGAATTTGCCCTGGGATAGATTCAATGGACTCCATCTTCAGGTCTGAGCTACAGCACAGATCACTGCAAGTTTAGCGGAAGGCCTGGCCATTCTGGTCCGGGAGGCTCCAGATGGGAACCCCAACGGGCAGTCTCTCGGGGTTAGGCTCCCCACGGTCACCGTCACTCTGACACCTGCAGCAAACATGTCTTGACCGAAGACATAGTGCACCGGGAGGTGACCCCTGACCAGAAGCTCCTGTCCCGGAGACTCCTGACCAAGACCAACAGGATGCCCCGCTGGGCCGAGCGACTGTTTCCTGCCAATGTCGCTCACTCGGTGTACATCCTGGAGGATTCTATTGTGGACCCGCGGAACCAGACCATGACCACCTTCACCTGGAACATCAACCATGCCCGGCTGATGGTGAGACTCTCTTGGTCCCCGGCAAAGTGGATAGAGCTCCTGATACGTGTGACTCAGGAGCGAGTAATGCTGAGTGGTTTTCAAACCAGAATCCATCTGGCCATAAGGGTGCCTAGGGTGTGCCTCGTAAGGGAGAGGATCTGGGCCCCCACGGACCAGAGGAGTTACACCCCTCAGTGTCTTACACAATAGAGTTCAGCCTAAGGTTTGGGCAGGGGGGGAGGTGTTCCTTTTGTCTGTAAATCTTGAGAACCCTGACCTGGCCAGGTAGCTCAGATGGTTATAATGAGCATCGTCCCAATACACAAAGGTTGAGGGTTCAGTTCCCAGTCAGAGTACATACAAGAATCAATCAGTGAGCCCTGGCCAGTGTGGCTCGGTTGGAGCATTATCCCATAACCAAAAGGTTGTGGGTTCAATTCCCCATCAGGGTACATGCCTAGGTTATGGGTTTGAACCCCAGTCTGGGCATCCATGATCCCTGGTCCGGGCATGTACAGGGGCAACCAGTTGATGCGTCTCTCTCACATTGATGTTTCTCTCCCCTTCTCTTTTTCTGAAAGCAGTGAAAAAATATCCTCTGGTGAGGATTTTTTTTTTTTTAAGATTTTATTTATTTATCTTTAGAGGGGAAGGGAAGGAGAGAGGGAGCGAAACATCAATGTATGGTTGCCTTTCGTGCGTCCCCTGCTGGGAACCGGCCTGCTGGGAACCGGCCTGCTGGGAACCGGCCTGCTGGGAACCGGCCTGCTGGGAACCAGCCTGCAACCCCGGTGTGTGCCCTGAACCGGGAATCAAACTGCGATTGTCTGGTTCGCAGGCCCGCGCTCAATCCACTGAGCTACACCAGCCAGGGCCAGGATTTAAAAAAAAAACAACAAAAAACACCAGTGAATGCATAAGTAAGTGGAATAAAAAATGGATGTGTCTCTGCCTGCACAGAGTGCTGGAAGGAGGCTGGGCCTGGGTGGTGGTCTCCCTGAGGCCGTAGTCTAAGGTTCTCTCCCTTTGTCTCTCTACTGATTTTAGAATCAGCAAGTAATTTTTTTTAAATTAAAAAACATTCTGTCATGTTCTTTCATGTATGAATACCCTGAAGCTTTCAGAGAACTGGCTTTTTCTCACTCGGTCTTCACAGTGACCCTCGGAGGTGGGAGTTACCCCCTTGTGCAAAGGGAAAAGTGAGGTACGAAGAGGGGAAGCATCCTACAAGCTCACGGAGTAAGCTGGCAGCTCAGTCCACTGCTGCAGCCACTGGAGCCTTCACTGCACCCTGCCTGGAGGGCACTGCCTGTTTTTTAGTCACCCAGGTAGTGACCCTATCATGAGGTGGCCTCCCAGCCAGTGGCCAGCTGCAGGACAGGCCTTTGAAGTGCTCTGTGGGGAGTGCTAGCGCACTTTTTCCTCTGATAATGAGAGCTGTGACAGGTAGTAGGCTGGTAAGAACATTGCCCCTGTGTAGACATAAAGGTGCCAAACCAAATCTAGGAGGGGCCAGGGCAGAGCTGGAAGGCCTCCCTACTGATCTCAAGAGGCCATTTGCTGTCTAGTTTAAAGGGTCAGAAGAGACCGTAGAGACCAAAATGACCTTTATGTTCTTGCTCTTTGTAAACACAGCGTGGGATGTGATAAGGAATGGATTTTCATTTTATTGCTTTCCCTCATAAAACGAGGCAGTGAATCATGTTTATGTGAAGCTGGCAAATTGAAAGACTCCCACAGAGTTGTTTGGCCGGACTCCCTACACAGGTGGTGGAGGAGCGATGTGTTTACTGTGTGAACCCCGACAATAGCGGCTGGACCGAAATCCACCGGGAAGCTTGGGTCTCCTCTAGCTTGTTTGGTGTCTCCAGAGCTGTCCAGGTGAGCAGTGGCTTGGGGGTGCTGGTGTTCTGAGGCGCAGGCCACTGGGCATAGACTGGGTTAGAGGTCAGTGGGAAGCTCAGAACCCTTCCCCTTCTCATCTTTTGCCAGGAATTTGGTCTCGCCCGGTTCAAAAGCAACGTGACCAAGACAATGAAGGGTTTTGAGTACATCTTGGCCAAGCTGCAAGGTGAGAACCTCCCGGGCACAGGCTGGGTTCAAATCCTAGCAGCCCTGACTGGTATGAGCGGAGCCTGGGACTCCTCGTCTGTACGCTGGGCAAACGCCGCCTTTCCAATGGGGCCTGACTTGCAGGTGGTGACGGTTGTGGGGAGCAATTGGGTGGGTCTTCTCCGCATCCTCTAAAGCCGGCCTCCTGCCCTTTGCTGCAGGTGAGGCCCCTTCCAAAACCCTGGTTGAGACAGCCAAGGAAGCCAAGGAGAAGGCAAAGGAGACGGCACTGGCAGCTACAGAGAAGGCCAAGGACCTTGCCAGCAAGGCAGCCACAAAGAAGCAGCAGCAGCAGCAGCAGCAGTTTGTGTAGCCAGCCCGGGCCCTTGAGCTGCAGCAGGCCAGGCCACCCACTACACTCCCCCTCTGCCCTCCCCCCTTGTGCTTATTATTAAAACTCAACTTCCGGCCTGATCTCCTGTCTGGGTGGTGGGTTGGTGGTGGTGTCTGTCTGGCATCTGCAGGGCACCAGACACATTATCCACATCTGGGCCAGGCCTGCTGCTTCACGCATCGGCTGGCCATGGAGAGAGGGGCTGTGACTTGCCCAGGGTCACAGCGAGCGTGCAGGTGAAGGGGTCATAAATGCTAGACTGTAAGCTCCTTGGGGGCAGGAACCTTCGGTTTTTTCTCTGCTGTGTCCCAAGTACCTGGAACAATATCTAGTACATAATAGGCACTCAATAAATATTTGTTGAATTCAGCCAGCCCCAGCTGTGGAGTCAGAAAGCTTCGGTTTGAATTTTGACTCCAGTGCACCCTGACTTTGGGCCCAAGGCGAGTCCTGTCACAGCCTCGACCAAACCTGCAAAATTGGGCTGGCCAGCCTCTGGGCTTCCGGTTGAAGGGGCAGTGCAGACCCACCAATAGTGTCGCCAGCAATGTGGGTGGTGGCTGCTGATCTCATTTCCTCTTTCCCATCTTATGGCTGGGAGTTTCCCCAATTTCATCAGACAAGACCATGGGCAGGAAATTAAGAAAGAACCTTTTAATGAAAATACTGTACAGTATCTGTGGGATAAAGCCCAGGCGGCCTTGTCTAGGAAGGAATGGGGGGGGGACCCAAGAGGCTTCCTGTCCCCATGGGGACAGCAGAGCCAAATGCTACCAAAACAAACAAAAAAAATGCCTGGAAGGGTAGTCCAGGCGTAAGCTGCCCGCACTGCGGCCCCTGGGGGGCCGGGCCACGCCCCTAGAAGGGGCTCCCGCAACCAGGGGCCAGGCAGGGGAAGCACCTCTTCCCACACCAAGGTCCTTTCAGTTCATTGCAACAGGAGGTGAGTCTGGACAGCCCGGGAGGCTCGAGAAGGGCTCCTGCCCCGCAGAGCTGAGTGGCAGGGGGTCTGAGGGGAGGACGTGCTTTGGAGCGGCGAGGGTCATAGCCAGGCGCCACTGTGTGAGTAGCTGTGCTCCCGGCCAGCACTGAAGCCCCGAAGCAGCTCGGCCTCACCCCCGAACACCAGGCTCTCCACGTCCACCTCCAGCTCCTCTGCACAGGGACGGGTCCGTCAGGAGACCTGGCCCACCGGCCCGCCCAGCCCGCTTCTGCTTCGGGACACTCACCTTGGTCCGAGTCTGAGCGCTCAGAGGCGAGGCCCGAGGAGTCCAGGCTGTCCGCGCGCAGCCGCTCCCGCTCGCCCGCCCCCGCCGGCCCCCGGAGCCATGCCAGCTGCCGCTGCAGGCTCTGCTGCTCGCTGCGCAGCTTCTCCTTGAGCCGCCGGGCCCGCTGCTCCTGCTCCTCCAGCTTCTGCGGGCCCGAGGAAGCAAAGGATGGGGTCAGCTGCCCGGGGTCCCCCCCGCGCACCACCGGGCACAGCTCCGCGGCAGCCGCGACCCCTCGGTGACTGCTGCCTGCTCCTGACAGGGCTCAGAAAGCCTGGGCTCCACAGGCTTCCTCCACATCCTCCGGGGAACACAGGCCCTGCGATGCCATGTAAATGGCCTGAGCATTCTGTTTAGCTGGGTGGGCAGGGCGGGCAGCACAACGTCAAAGATCTTCAGCGTTTAGTCAGGTGATGAGAAAGAGTGCCCAGGGTGGTACCAAGCAATAGAGAGGGGCGGGGGGGGGGGGAGTGTGGACTCTAGGTGACAGAGGCAGCCACCTCGGGGGCCCAGCCGATGGCTACCATGTGGGAAGAGGCCCAACCAAGTGTGGCCAGACCGCTCAGTGTCTTTAAGAGAGCTGGCAAGTCACATTCTTCGTGTTAAGTGGCCTCTTAAGTGCTGCCAACTAACTTAAATTTTAGAAAACTACAGACGAAACCAAGGCTACCAGTTTGGAACTCTTGTTCAAGACCCTCCTAGGAACCCCAGGGCTTCTTCAGCATTAATCTGCTCCCCCCATCTCCACCAGAGCTCTGCCAGCCCAGCGTGCAGTGGACTGGAAGGCCCAGGGCTCTCCCATCAGAGCCCTGGGTGGGCAGGAGCCTGCAGTCCACAAGCAAGGGGGGGGGGGGCATGGGACGGGGTATAGAGGGATGAGTGACAGCTGCCTAGGCAAAGATGGGGAGAAGCACCCAAGCAGAGGGAGATCAGGAAGAGCACTGAGAATTCAGATTTGGCTTTTGGGTGATGAACAGGGAAGAGATAAGACTAAAAAAGCAGGCCAGTGGCAAGGCCTGGGATGTGGAAGGCCTTGACTTCACAGAAGGGCTGAGAAGGCTCTTCTCAGGACCCATGGGAGGTTTTCAGCCGAAGAGAGAGACCTAAAGAGATCAACCACCTGCTACAAAGAACATCCTCCTCAGGCAAGGTGAGGACAGTCTGGCCGATGCAAAACAGGAAGCAGGGAGTCCAGGAGGGGGTTGGTGGGGCTTTAAGGAAGGAGCGATCCTGGGGCCTGCCCTCTGTCCCTCTAAGAACCAGGGTAGGTAGGATCCGGGCAAGAAACCAGGGCCTGCTGTCTAGCTAGGGTATTACTGAGCCACCACGAGGGAAATGCAGGCACCTGTGGCACAGCGTGGACAGTGCCCACACTGTGATTCATTTGCCACACGCACGTCCATGTGTCTCTGACACAACCCCTGTTTCTACAGCAGCCTGGCACAGCGGGGGCTCAACAAACCAAACACCGGGTTGGCCTAATGGTCTGTTTGCTTTTTATCCATACGGTGGCCCTAGTAGCACTTAGTTTTCCTTAGCTCCATTCGAAACAATTTTGTTAGATTGTATTGTGACAGCTGTCATATCAGCATGCATTACAAAAAAAACTTACCAAATTGGTGGCTTTTTGTGTAGCCATTTTAATATTGAAGATGAAAGAAAATATGCCATGTTTTTGGCATATTATGTTTTACTATTTCTAGAAAGGTAAAAATGCAACTGAAATGCAAAAAAATATTTGTGCAGTGTATGGAGAAGGTGCTGTATCTGATCAAACATGTCAGAAATGGTTTGTGAAGTTTCACGCTGCAGATTTCACGCTGGATGATGCTCCACAGTCAGGGAGGGTACTGCAGTTGAAGGTGACAGTGGTCAAATTGAGACACTAACTGAGAACAATCAACATTATATGACACAGGAGACAGCCAACTAACTCAAAAGATCCAAATCAATCAAGTTATTGGTGAAGATGAAAAGTGTGTCTTTTACAGGAAAAAAAAAAAACTAAACAGACTTTTTGGCCAACCCAATATACTTGTTAAAGGAAAGCATGCAACTCAGGGCACCTGGGCCTGGATTCTGAATCTGCCTCTCAGAAGCACTGCTGTGCCTCCATTTCTTCGTCAAAAGAACCAGGAGGGCAGGAAAAGTCTCTTTGGGGATGCTTGGGGCTTTGAGTTAGCACCCCCCACTCATGTCCACCAGGGGGCAGCAACAAGGGCTCTGAGAATAAGGTGATGGCCATCCTCTCGGTCCTTTCCCTGGCCTGGCCTCTGGAGCTGCCTCCCAAATCGGCTTCAGGACAGACTGCTCAGAACAGGAGGTCTTAAAGAATGGGAGAGAGGAAGATCGAGGACCAGCCCTCCACAGTCTTAGGGGCCCTTACACATGATCCATACATTATTTCAACAGGCATGCCCCCCATACAGAGAAGGAAAGGAAGTCCAGAGAAGCTAACTGCCTGGCCCAGGGCCTCACAGCTGGAATAGACGTAATAGCTGTAATAACAACAGTGAATACTTACTGGGCAAATGCTGAAGCTTAAGCGTCAGAACAATTCTGAGTTATTTTTTGCTTCTCTTCCCATTTAATAAATTTGGAAACTAAAAGCACAGTGGGCCTCTCTCCAGTTTCCCCCAGCAACTCCCTCCTACACCTCTCACGTGTCTGGTGAGCTGGCTCCAGGGTGCAGGGGTAGCCCCTCACCTGGATGTGCATCCTGGCCCTGCGCAGAAGGCTCAGCGTGGTGTAGCGGGCACAGTCAGCCCCCAGGGGCATCTGCTGCTTCAGCTGCTCCAGGCACCGCTTCAGCTGGGCCCTCCTACAGGGGAAGGGGTCAGGAGGGCAGTGCCAGCCCAGCCTTGCTAGCCAGAGGGCTGACAGGGTAGGAAAGGCCAGAGGGAGGCAGTTACAGGACCCGTGCTGTCCCGGCGTGTCTGGGACTCACCTGCGCTTCTCCAGCTCGTTGTGCACAGACCTGCCAATGCCAGGAGGATGGGGTGAGTGGGCGTCAGCTGCTGCCCACACCCTCAGTCCCAGGCTTCCGGGGGCTCAAAGGGCACTACAGATATTTGTTCCAAACCAGCTCAGTATGACAGCAGTGTGCCTCAGGCCCCTGCATTGCCAGGGGGAGGCAGAGACCCGTGGGCAGGTTGGGGGTTGGGGGGAGGTGCAAATGCTGTGAGAGGCCTGCTCAGGGAGCCCTGGAGTCTGAAGCCCCCTACCAGCAGTCAGGAAAGGCTTCCTAAACAGAGGTGCCAGCTGAGCTGAGCCAGAAACGCAAGTTACCCAAAGTGGGTGGTGGAGGGAGAGATGCTCCAGTTGGAGGGAACAGCATGTGTAAAGAAAGGGTGGAGATGAGGTGAGAAGAGGAAAGGGAGTGGTGTGATATGTGGAGCAGAAGTGGGACACAGAACAGGCACTATGACGGGTGCTCAAGAACTAGTGCTTGATGGAATAGAGGTTGTGTTTGGGGATGGGGCAAGACGGCAAGTGGGGTCTGAATGTCTCCACAGTAGGGTACCTGGCCCAGAAGATGCAAGCAACAAGGAGGAAGTGGGCTGGGGAGGGGTCTGAAAGGGACAGCGCCCATCCCCCACTCCCCGTTGCCCTTGGCCCTCCTCACCGCCCACCGTCCAGCGCGCCAAGAGCTTGGGGGGACGGCTTCCTCTTCCTGTGGATCGGGCCCGGACTTCTGTGCGGGCACAGGGACGCGTACCCGTGCTCAGCCTCTGCCAGAGAGAGCCCCCATCCGCGTCAGGATGGAGATGGTCCCCGCGGGCGCTCCTGGCAGGCACGGTCAGGGAGGGGCTTTTGGCGCCAGGGCCATTTTCCCACCACCTCCCAGCCCGACTACAGACTCCTCTCCAGTCGAAGACGGGAGTGCCCCGGGGCTACCGCCTTAAAGCCAAGTATGTATCCTGCAGGTTGGGAGCCAAGTCCAACCGAGGCCGGTGTCAGCAAGGTCGTTGCCTGGAGTCCGGCCAAAAGTTTTGCCTCACCTCTCTCGCGGCGTTCCAGGAACTCGGCTGCCTGCAGCAAGACCTGGATGTTGCTAGCCACTGGTTCCATGTCGGCGACAGCTGACGGCGGGAGAGCCGGAGTTGAGAGCCGGAGCTGAGGGCCGGAGAAGCAGCAGCACCACTTTTGTTACAATGTAACTGACATGGTGCCACACACAGGCGCCCGGCCCCGCCCCCTGGACGCCCCGCCCGCAGGGTGGCCCGGCTCTTGGCCCCGCCCCCTGAAACCCTTCCCAAAACTCAGCCGGGTCCCCCAAGCCGCCCGCCCCTTCGGACCCTGCGGTGCCCGTACCTACATCAGCTCTAAGTCCGGCCCTCGGGCAAACCCCAGGCTGGGGGTTGGTGAATCCTGTTCGCTTTGGTCAGCGACCCCGTGCTGGCAGCGAGGAGTCTCTGGGACTCCGTTTCCAGCCCGTGCAGACGGCGAGGGGACGCGAGTTCTAGGGACGTGTAGTCTCCGGAGGCCCGTGTACTCGCAGCTGCACGTGGGCGCCGCGGGGGCTGGGAGGGTGAGCGCCGTCGCCCATTGGCGGGTCGCCTCCTGCGGCTCACTGTCGTCATCTTAGGGGCGGGGCTTGAAAGCCTCTGAGGCGCTATTGGCTGCGCGCGGCTCCGCCCTCTCTCGCTGCTGGTCTACACTTTCGGGCGGGAAAAGAAGCAGGTTTCAAATTTGAAAACCCGGGAGGTGGGGGCGGGGTTAAGCGGGGAACGGGGCCGTAGTGCGCAGGCGCCCGGGGTCCTTTTCTGCGCCCCGGAGTCTGTCCCCTGGCCTACCGGCCGTAAGGCCTGGTGGGCCGGGCTGAGCTTCCCTACTGTGGCGAAGGCTTCTCTTCTTCACCTTCCCGGAAGCTACTGTCGCTAGGAAACGTCAGCAGGGTACAGTGGAAAGTAGGCAAACTGGCCTGCTGGAGAGCCCTGGGTCCTGAAGCCTTTGGAGTTGGGTTCCTGTCCTGTCACCAGTGCTTCTCAGCTCTGTGACTGTGGAACTGACCTCCCTCCTGTAAGCTCGGGAAGCCCCGCAACAACAGCGTTGTTGCAGGACCAGAGCCCACGCCTGTGCCGTGCCCAGGAGGTAGGAGCTGCTGATTTCCTTGCCCTCAGGAGCCACCAGAGGCCGGCGTCTTTCTCCCCCAGAGCCCCTGGTTACATCCTAGCTTCCCCCAAGGAGTAGCTACAATGACGTTGAGGGGCAGCAGCAGCAGGTGTGGCCACACCTGTGGGCACAATTTTACTGGAAAGAAGACCTGTCTCGTGAGTGGGTCTGCCTAGGGCAGCTGACTGTGTGTGGGTTCTTCACTTTGTATAGGAAAGACTTCACAGCTTGGTCTAGGTGATTTTGAGAATATGTTTATTAAAGCACGGGACGGTGGAACAAGGAAGAACCCGAGACAGAAGCAGCAACAGGGAAGAGCTTAGGCGGGGCTGCCTGGCTCTCCAGAAACGTTACATAGGAAAGAAGTGAGCCTGGTGGGGCTGCTGTCAGCTCACTGGGACGTCAGAGGAAAGGGGCCCTGGAGACATGTTCAGGGGGTCAGCCCAAAACAAGCTGTCGCTGCCCATTGCTCCCCTGGTTGCAAGTCTCGTGGAGTTCCTTAGAATTTAGGAGATGCGCACCTGTTGGGGAAGTAGGGGAAAGGGAGAGCCCAAGAATGCTCTCACGCTGGGTTCTTCATCCTGAGGGTTTCAATGGCAGGGAGTTCGGGAAGGTCTCAGGGAAGGATCTCAATAGAATAGCCATCAGTTCTTTCAGGTGTGTCCTTTTGGAGTGGTGGTCTCCACCTACTGGTTGGCACCAGGGCAGGGGTCTCTGTTCATTGATCTGGTCCTGGCATCGCCCACCTAGTGTTGCTGCTTTTCTGGGCCTGGAGCTGAAACACAACTGAGGTGTTATCTCTGGGGAAGAAAGGTCAGGGGGTCTAAACCACATGCCAGGAGGGAAGAAAAACCCCACTGGGGGCGAGGTCCCAAGCCAGTTTGCCCATTGCTAGGCGCCCGGGGCTTTCCACCCTGGTGACCTGCCTCTGTCTCTTAATTGCTTGGCCAGTTTGTTCAGCTGCCTGGCTCAGTTTCCTTATTCCACTTGCCAAGAAATTTTCTTAGCCTCTTACTCTCCTGCCTCAGAGTGACTGTCTAAGGGCGGAAGCAGGAAGATGAAAGCAGGTGTTACAAGAGTGGGGGGCTGACTGTGAGACCCAGCAGTGGGGGCAGTGAATGAGGAGGGACCAGATTCTTTATAAAGACATAGTGCTGAGTGAGCACAGGACACATGGAAGTCAGTCCTCAGTTTCTTGAAGAGTCATTCCCGGAGAAACCGTAGACAGGCTCAGCCAAGAAACGAGCCATTCGCCACCCTAACCAGTCTGAGCTCATTTTAAGCAAACTAATTACACTTGTAAAGACCCTGTTTCCCAGTGTGGTCACATTCTGAGGTGCTGGATGCATGTGAAATTTTGAGGATGGATACTATTCAACTCACTATTCTACCCCTTATAAAAAATAAAGAGTCATGTCAAAAGGGAGTGCCATCCCAAAGGGACTGTCTTGCAGGTCTGACTTCTCCATCCTTTGGAATGTTAAAACTGGGCAAAACAACCTTTGCACAGGGCCCAAAGCAGCGCTGCATTCCAAACTGTTTACAAAGATAAGGGGAAACAGCCATTACAACTACCAGACTGAAAGTAAAAGGCATTCATTGGAATCAGCGTCACCTGCCCTGGCTGATGTGGCTCAGTGGCTTGGACGCCAACCTGTGGACAAAGGAGTTGCCAGTTCAATTCCCAGTCCAGCATATTCCTGTGGGTCAGGTCCCCAGTGGGGGATATGTGAGAGGCAACCACACACTGATGTTTCTCTCCCTCTCTTTCCCTTCCCCTTTCTCTAAAAACAAATGACTAAAATCTTTATTAAAAAATCTTTGAAAAACAATCTTTCTCCCTCCCCCTCTCTTTAAAAATAAATAAATATTCGGGCCTGCGAACCACACGATCGCAGCTTGATTCCTAGACAGGGCACATGTCTGGGTTGCAGGCTGGTTCCCTGCAGGCCGGTTCCCAGCAGGGGATGCACAAAAGGCAACCATACATTGATGTTTCTCTCCCTCTCTCCTTCCCTTCCCCTCTAAAGAAATAAATAAAATCTTAAAAAAAAATAAGAAAGTTAAAATCTTTAAAAATAAATAAATAAATGTTTCTCCCTCCCCCTCTCTTTTAAATAAAAATAAGTAAATAAATCTTTAAACAAACAAAACCAGACAAGAAGCCTGTATCAGTCCTGTTTCACGTCAGGGGAAGGAGAACTAGGGGAGCACAGGTGACGGAGGGACGAGATTGTTCAGCTTCCTTGTTCTTAACCTGTCTACTCTAGTCGTTATGAGTCCAGTCACCCAGGGCCTGCAATCTTTGATAAACAATCAATTTCTTCAAAAAAAAAAAGATTTTAAATACGGGAAGGGAGAAAGAAAGGGAGAGGAACATCAGCGTGTGCTTGCCTCTCATACGCCCCCTACTGGGGACCTGGCCCACAACCCAGGCATGTGCCCTGACCGGGAATGGAACCAGTGACCCCCCACGGTTTGCAGGCCCGCACTCCACCCACTGAGCCACACCAGCCAGGGCAGACAACCATCGTTTTCATACACACGTCCCTTATCTCCTCAGGAGAGGCGCTTTCTGGTAAGGGGCTGTTTTTGGAAAACTCAAGCCACAAGAGGAGGAGTTCCTGTAGCGATTAGTGTGTCCTTATGATGCAGGGTGCAGGCAAGGAGGCCCCCCCCCCCAAAAAAGAAAAAGATTTGGAATGGTGTCCAAAAACTCAAAGTGTATAGGAATATTGGAAAGACATATAAGATGTCCTCACCCCTTCCCCCACAGGTGTGAGTTGGGGGAAGGGACACATGGAGCAGGAACATGCAGGGCTGTTTTGTACAGCAACAGCCTTGCAGCTAATCCATGGCATCGTCATTTAACATATCTGTGGCCTTTAACTGGTTTCATAGCTATGTTAAATAGCTGTGGTCAGGCTTGGAGCTAGGGGGATGAAGTCACTTCCCCCAAGATGTAACTGGGGGCAGGTCCCCCAAGTTACAGCGCCTGCGTGGGAGCTTGGAGAAGACTGGCTCCACGCCATGGGGTGATACCTGCCCAGACTAATGATGGCAGCCCAGTAAAGCTGGAAGGGTATGAGAATCCTGGCAGGTGTAACTCATTGTACGAGGAGTTGGAAATGGGGCTGCAAAGGAGGATGGATGCAGACATTTAAACCAAGACGCAGCAGCCAATGAGAGAGAGCCAGCGGTTTCAGCAAAGTAAGAGTCCCCTCTTGGCCAGGTGGAGGGGAGAGCCACGTGGTTTTGGCAAGGTGCAGACCCCCTCTTTCCCAGGTGAAAGGGAAAACCACACAGCTATGCCAGAATGGAGATCCCTGCAGCCAGGTGAAGAACAAAGCCACATGCTTTTGATGGAGTGCTGACCCCTGCAGCTTTGGTAAAAGAGGCCCATGCAGCTTTGGGGTGCCCCCTTTGCGTGACCTGGAAAGCAGGAGAGACTTTGACTGGAACTGGGTACAAAGAACTCTTGCCAGTGGACCGTGAGAGGGTACCACAGTACTTTGGGTCAACTCGAGAGCCTGCACAGTGACAGAGCTGACGATACCAGCAGCCTGCAGCACAGACATGTGCTCTTTTCCTGATTTACAGTACCCGGAGTTGAGACAGTGGGAGAAGGGAGCGCTGTGTGGGTGTAGGTGTATACCCTAAAGGACTGTGATATTTTAGTGGAGGCGTTAGGCCTAAATAGCATTAAATAAACATTTTATTTCCTTTTCACAAATCTCTGGCATTGAGAAATGTCTTTCCAATTGGCGGTGGACAGAAGAGCCCAGTAGATATTAGTATTCCGTCGCTGGGAGTGGCCCCTGTTGTTCGGTAGCAGTTTTTGGCGTCCCTTGGTGGGCCAAATATTGCCCCCACCTCAGACCTCTTGTTCAGTAACACTTATGCAAGACAAAGCAGGGGCTGCGGCAGCGGGAAGGGGTGGGGGGGTGGTGCACCTGGACAGAGCCGGGAGAAGGACATGACATCATGATGTCAGAGAGGCCCAGCATTTGGCCATGAGGCTGCTTGAAGCACCCCTGGAGTTCCCACGCTGGTCCCCACCGGGCATCTCAGCAGGTTTTCCGCAGCGCCCTGCCGGACCGTGTGGCCAGGCCAGCGGCCGCCTCCCAAGAGTTGATTGGTTTTGACCTCTTCCATCGAAGCGGTGGCCTTCCAACCAGGAGCTCCATGGACGCCGTGGGACCACTTGCCGCACACCCAGTGGCTTTGTGGAGATCACTGGGGGCTGTTCACCGGGACTACTCGCGTGGCCTGCTGCCGGAGAGGCCCAGCAGCGCCCCCGGTGGAGACGGGCTCAGCCCTCAGCGGGGAAGGAAGCCCCCTGCCCCTCAGGTCCTCCTGGTGTTGTACCGGTGGCCCGTTCCTGCAGAAA